GAGGCAGGAGACTCGCTTGAGCCCAGGAGTTGGAGATTGCTGTGAGCAGTGAAGCCATGGCACTCTACCCAGGGAGATAGCTTGAGGCTCTGTCTCAAAAAAAAAAAAAAATTACAATGGAGTTGTCATGTAGTGACTATGTGGTGTCTACCAATCTTTTTTTCCTACCACTCTTCAAATAAACCTATAGACTGAAGGAGGTCCCCGCTAAGTCAAGCAAGGGCCAAGTTTATGTTCTAAAGTGCAAATCTGACCACACCACTGTGCATGTCTCATGTCCCCTGTGCTCACACCACACAAGCCCCTCAGCTCTGCTCTGCTGCTTTGAATAACTCTGCCCCCATCATGGGCTCAGCAGGCACATCATGTCCCTCCCCAGGACATCTCCCTGACTACCTGGCACGGGAGGTGCCACTATACTCTCCATGTGCCCAGGTGACACTGGGTTTCCTGCCCCACCGTGGGCTGAGTCTGTGTCCCCAGCACTCTGCATGGGGAAGCAGCAGATGCTCAGGAAACATGTCCCAAGTCAGAGCCTTGATGACTGGCGAGTATACAGCCACTGCCCTGATTTCAGCTGATACAGTGGCCTCAGACTCTTTCTGAGCAAGACCAGTGTCACTGAGTTCACCCCAAGGAGGTGGCCTGGCATATACCCTGCTCTCTCCCAGGTGGTGAAGAGAGTGCTGGCCCGGACCAGCAGCGGGGGCTTCTGTGGGAATGACGGCTTCATGCACATGACGCTCACCAGCCTGCCCTTCGGAGGAGTGGGTAGGTACTGCCATCCTGCCCGCTGTCACCATTCCTGAATGAACTCCATGTGTCACTTGCATACATCCTCACTGAGAAATGTCCCAGCTCAATCTCAGTGCAGAGGGACAAGGAAGGGTGCCTTTCCTCACTGGCTATGCTCCACCCCAGCACCTCCATTCTGCTCTCCTCCCCATAGTATCCGAACTCATCTCTGCAGAGATACACAATTTTAGTGGGTCTTTAAAGAAACCATAACTGTGATTACCCCATCTACCATGCTGCGCCGCAGACCCCCTACTGTGTTCTCTTTGCTCCTTAGCTGCCAATTCTTTAACCCCTGCCCCAACCCCTCAGTCCAATCCTTGGCATCACACCCCATTTCTACCCTGTTGATGGTTGCTGCCTGGTCCCCTTCCCTGGGGAGGTCCAGGTAAGCACCAATGCCACCTCTGTCCCTCAGAGCAGCCCTGACGCAGCTGCAAAGTCTTGGCCAGGAGTCAGGAAACCTCAGAGCTAGACCCACCAATGAAGTGACAGACTGTGCAATCCAGGGTGCCATCCCCCATTTCCTCCTCAGTGAACAGGTAGGGCCAGAGGGGGTAATTTGAGGTCACTCAGTGTCAGAGTGAACGGCTGCAGGACCTGGCAAGCTACCCCCAATGCGCCTACACCCTTCCTGGATAGTGGCCAATTACACAGGAGAACCCAGAAGGCTGCTGTCCTAGCTCTGCAACTCCCTCCTTGAGTCCTGTGCCTGGACTCTCATCTGGGTCCTTCCACCAGATCCTGCCCAGCTCCCTACTCCAGTCTGCAGCCCTCCTCATCCCACCCCTATGCCTGGGGAGAGGCCAGGGCTGTTTGCCAGTGAATCTGATCCTGCTGCTCCCTGAGGACAACCTCCCCCAGGTCTCCAGGCATCAAGCCAGGCCCTTACTCAGCTCCTGAGGCCAGCCTCCCTTCCTGCTCTAGCTGTGGGGTCCTGCTCTGGCCTCCCTCTATGTCCCTTACTGCTGCTCCAGTAGCCTGAGCCCTGCCCAGATCCCTGACATGCCAAGGTGTCCCCAATCCACCTACAAGTCCCTACCCACCCTCTTCACATGATTAACTCCACATCCAGAGGGGCAGGCCTCACTCACTGCAGGAAGCCCTCCCTGATTACCCCCTAACTGCACCTAGGCTGTGTCCCCTGCACTCCCAGGGTCCTTATTGGCCTCCCTACCCAGATGCTGAGAAGGACTCATAACAACACAGTGCTTGCTGTGTCCACAGGCCTGAACACTCCCTTACTCCCCCCCAAACCCAGGAGGTAGGTACCATTGTCACCCCATGGTACAGAGAAGGTTGAGGCACACAAAGGCACAGTCACTTGCTCAATGTGACATAGCTAACTCGTGGCAGAGCCAGGATTCAGGCCCAGGCCACCTGGCTCTTGAACCAATGCCCTTGACCACTGTTGCCTATCTGGTCCCAACTCTTGATGTCCCTAGTTGGTGCCAGAGTTGGGGCCAAGCCCTTTATGCACAGTGCCCCATAATTAGCTACTGGGCAGATGGGGAACTGAGGCCTAGAGAGGTGAAGCTAGCCTGCTTTTGTCCCACTGTATGTAACTGGCAGAGTCCAGGTCTGACGACCCCCTGGGCTGCCCCTGAGCGCCTCTCTCCCTGTGCTACTGGGCAGGTGCCAGCGGGATGGGCAGGTACCACGGCAAGTTCTCCTTCGACACATTCTCCCACCATCGTGCCTGCCTGCTTCGCAGCCCCAGGATGGAGAAGGTCAACGACCTCCGCTACCCACCCCACACGCCGCGTAATCTGAGGGTGCTGCTGGTGGCCATGGAGGCCCGCTGCTGCAGCTGCACGCTGCTCTGAGCTCATGCGGGAGCCTGGGGTGGCCCTCCACAGCCTGTGGTTTGAGTCCTCCACCGGCTCTGCCAGCTAGCAGGGACAGGCCTGAGCTAGGGAGCACGAGGAGGAAGAACAGCCAAGGCCACAGACCAGCATTAGCCTTCCTCTCTCAGCCACCTCTTAAATAAGGTTGGCCACGAGGAGGGGCATGGGAACCAGTGCAGTGACCCTCCCATGCTAGCCACCTGTGTCCTGGGAGAAGAGGACAGACAGAGCACTCTGAGCCACTACTTTCCTATGGAGGGTGCAGCAGACGGGCCCTGTCCTCTGTGGGCCCCAGCTTCCCCATCTGTGCAGTGAAGATTGAAAATTGACACCTCCTGAGATTGTTATGAAGATTAAATTAGGGAGTTGCTGACCCAATCTCCAGGTGTCCCCTTTCCTCGCTCATGTAGAGAGCTGCCTCCCGCGTCCCTCCCCTAGGTCAGCTGGGGTCCTGCAGCAGCAGCTCCATGGGGGCCTCTCAGAACTCTAGACCCCTCACCCTCACCATGTCCCACCCTGGATTCATCCTCTTACCCACCCTGTTTATCCTCCTGGGCCCTACCCATTCAGCTGCCAAAGCCCAGATCCTGGGCCTGCTGCCTGACACCTGTTCTCACCTCCCAAGTCCACACTTTAATTGCCTCGGCCAGGGCCTGATGCAGGCCAACATCCCATGACCTTCCTTCTCCTCGGGGCCCTCCTCAGGACACCTGCTCATCTTCCCAAAGCTTGCAGAGACCATGCCGCTCCCCAGCCTGAAACCCTCCAGGGACTGACTACCTTTGGTCCACAAGTCCCAAATCGTTAGGAGGCTCTGCCTCTAGCTCTCCAGATAAGTCACCAAGCTCCTGTCCCTTTTGCCCACACTCAGCCTGCTCTTCTCCTCAACTAGCACGCTTGTCCTCTTTGTCCAAGGACCTCTGCGGTACGCAAGACGTGCCTCTTTGCCTTTCCTGGCCTGCCCGACTCCTACTCACCGTCGGCTTAGACACGACCTCTTCCAGGAAGCCTTCCCAGACCACCATCCCGAAAACGCCTGCATAGGCCTCACATCACAGAATTCGCAGGGGCGGGGGCAACGCAGGTGGTTGAGAGACGGCCCTCATACAGACCCAGGAGTCGGTCAGGTGGCCGCACCCCGCAGGTCTACGGCCCGGGAAAAGTTACTAAATACTGCGTGCCTCAGTTTCCTTAACTGCAACGTTATACTAATGCACCTTGTAGTTCCTCCCCCACGGAATTGCTGCGAGGAGTAAATGAAGCCGCACATGAGCCCAGCGTTTGCGCGGGGAGTCGCTACGGTCAGAGATTCTAAACGTCACGCTGTCTTCTCTACCGCTATCACACGCCCCCGTCCAGACACAGCCGATTCGCTCGAAGCCCAGGGCGACCCGGAGCCGCTTTCTGAACCACGCCCCGGACGTCCCGCCTCCACCGCCGCGAAGTCCTCACTTATTGGCCTTCAAACCAATATGGCAGCTCCCAACATAACGTCAAGCGCCCGCTCCATCCTAGCCAATCAAAAGAAGGATATTTCCGGATCCCGGCTCTGTCAGCAGCTGTATTGACCAATAAGACCACACCATGGAGGGTCAGCGCAGAAAAAGAGAAGCCAGCCAGCTCCATGGCAGCGTCTCAGCGTGTAGGCTCCGCCTCCTGTTGAGCTGCCTTTGAGCCGGGGAGGGAGCGGCAGCACTTCAAGGTTGGTATTCGGGGCACTTCCGTGAAGGCCAGGCCTGGGCAGCGCGGGGTCGGGGCCGAGTGTGGTGTCTTCATTGGCGCCGCCAGCCCTGCACCAGGCTTCATCTTTGCCTGCTCAGGACCCGCGGCCTCTGTCCTTCAGCGTGCAGCAGGCTGACCGAGGAGTCCGCAGCCTCAGGGCGCATGCGCCTCCTGGCTGGCGTCCGTGGGGTCAGAGGTCATGGGGAAGGTCACAGAAGGTGTTGGCTTGGGTGCCTAGGACCCAGTGTGCCCACTAGAGGTTACAGGTCATGTGATGGGCACTTTGATCTCTGGCTGAGTGCTAGGGTCTGGCCCAACCCTTTGTCATGTACGAGCTCCCTTCGTTCTCATGACCCCCAATTTCATAGGTGAGGAGGCTGAAGCCAGTTGACGTCCCCTGCCCAAGGTCCCTCCTTAGGCTGGGGGCCGGTTCCAGTAGAGCATTGAGGCTGGGAAAAGGAATTTGATACTGAGGGTTTCCGGGGCAGAGGGCTAGTTTCAGTCCCGGCCCATCCCCCTATTGTCACTGAGTCACTTAACTTAATGGAGCAGCAGCGTTCCTTATTTGTAGGACAAGATAACAGTACATGTGACCCCCCCCCCCCATACCTGCAGAAAGTAGCTATCAGTGCATGCTGGTGATGGCTTGTAGTGTTATTTTTGATCAGATTAGTGAGGATGAAGGAGGGAAGACTGAAATGGGTGGCTGAAGCTCTGGGAGGGGCAGGAGGAGGGATGGCTTTTAAAGGCTTCTTAGGAGGTGAGATAGAACTTAGGGTTCACAGAAGCTCCCTAAATCTTAGCCCATCTGAGCTGGGTTAGGGTGAAAGACTGGGAGCTGCCTTGCCTGGAAACAGGAAGGGCCTCTGTGCCTGTGACAGGCACTCCAGACCCAGTTGTCTAGAGTCTAGGCTCAGGGTTCCTACAGTGTCAGAGTTCCTAGAGGGGATGCCTCCTGGACACACACCATCCTGCCTCCCTTCTTTTGCCACCAGATGCGCTGCCTGACCACACCCTTGCTGCTGCGGGCCCTGGCCCAAGCTACAAGCACAGGTAGGACCTAGGGAGTCTTTCCTGGGATTGGGGGAGCTCAGTCTCCTGGCATGAGGTCATAGCCACAAAGTGTCGCTCTCCTTGCAGGATATTCCAGTGGCCGGAGTCTACACAGCAGCACAGTGGCAGCCACCTACAGTGAGTACAGAGGTGGCCAGTAGCCTCAGGCATTTCTGCTTGGGATTCTGCCAGAGGTGGAGGAGAAGACCCGGGTTCTGGTCCTGGGTTTGTTAGGGCCCTGTCTTAAGCCTCAGTTTCCACTCTTAAAATACGTATGATGACAGGTGGCACCTGTGGATCAGTGGGTAGGGTGCCGGCCCCATATACCAAGGGAAGCTGGTTCGAACCTGTCCCCAGCCAAACTGCAACAAAAAATAGCCAGGCATTGTGGTTGGCACCTATAGTCCTAGCTACTCAGGAGGCTGAGGCAAGTGAATCACTTAAGCCCAGGAGTTGGAGGTTGCTGTGAGCTGTGATGCCACAGCACTCTACTGAGTACGATAAAGTGAGACTCTGTCTCTTTAAAAAAAAAAAGAGTATGATGATAAGACTGTCTGTGGGCAGAATCCATCATTGCGGGGGTTGCTGGTGTAATCATACTGTACCCCCAGCTGTGATAGGGAGTTGCCAGATGTGGGCCATGTCATGATGCCTGTGCCTCTTCGCCAGCCCCCATGTCAAGCCCCTTGCCCACTCTGTTGACTCTCCTTTCAAGCCCTGCTCAAATGGCCACCCAAGCACAAGGAAAAGTAGACACAGACTGGCCTGGGCCAGAGGTGGCTTCACAGGGCACTTGCAGAGACTGTAGAAAGGTTTGGTGAATGAACAGTCCCCTGGGGAGGCCAGCTCTTGCACCTGGAAGTGAGGGCCAGGCCTCCTCTCCCTGAGCTGGTTCCTGAGGAAGGAAAGGTGTGTGCAAGGCTTCCTGCTATACCCTCTCTGCCCTCCTCTCTGCAGAGTATGTGAACGTGCAGGAGCCTGAGATGGACATGAGGGCAGCAACTGACCGGGCAGCACGCACCCTGCTGTGGACTGAGCTCATTCGAGGTGGGTGCTTGGGTGAGGGAATAGGGCAGGCTGGGGTTGGTCACAGATAGATAGGGGAGGTACCCCTGCTTAACACGTCCATGCTGGTCACAGGCCTGGGTATGACCCTGAGCTACCTGTTCCGGGAGCCAGCCACCATCAACTACCCATTTGAGAAGGGTCCTCTGAGCCCACGCTTCCGAGGGGAGCATGCACTACGCCGTTACCCATCTGGGGAGGAGCGTTGCATTGCCTGCAAGCTCTGTGAGGCCATCTGCCCTGCACAGGTAAGTCCCTGACTGCCACCCCTGCCCTGGGACCTGTGGTGGGATGGAGGCCAGGTGGGGCTTGTGGTGTGCCTGCTTGATGTGTGAAAGTCCCCCCCCCCTTCAAGGTTCTGTTCATGGATATTTCACAGATCAGCTGGAGTTCAGGCCTTTTAGTGCAGAGACAGAAAGATGCAACTAGAGCTGTGGTCCAGACCCTGGGGTGTACCATGTACAACCCCCACCAGACATAGTCATTACTCACTATCCACATAACTCGTCCTGCCCCCAGTGTTCTGTGACTCAGTCCTAGCTTGTCTTGTGAACCACTCCCAGGTCCTCTAAGCCATGAGCTATGGCCTTGATATCTCCATTACAGCCATAGACCAGGAGCTTATGTCCCCAAACAGCAGCAATAATGATGGTTGTGGATTCCAGGTAGCAAGTAGTGTCTACAGACAGGCTAGGCATTGTCCTGAGCTTATTACCTATGTTGTCTCATTTAATCGTTAGAACAGCTCTGTTATCCCCATTTTTTAAATTTTACTTTATGTTATGTTATTTATTTATTTATTTTAGAGATGGGGTTTCACTTTGTTGCCCTCAGTAGAGTGCCATGGCGTTACAGCTCACAGCAACCTCCAGCTCTTGGGCTTAGTCCATTCTCTTGCCTCAGCCTCCTGAATAGTGGGGACTATGGGCACCTGCCACAACACCCGGCTATTTTTTTGTTGCAGTTTGGCCAGGGCCAGGTTCAAACCTGCCACCCTTGGTATATGGGGCCGGTGCCCTACTCACTGAGCCACAGGTGCCGCCCATCACATTTTCTTATTTTCTATTTTATTTTTCTTTTTTTTTTTTTTTT